CGGGGGGCCCCCCCGGCGCCCCCTCGGCACAGCGCTCCCGAAAGCACACGTGCACGCACAGACGTTGACTGTGGCACAAAATGAGCAGAGAGGAAGATTTTTTGGTGCGATTCTTCTTTCTTTTCTTTTTTTTTTTTACTTCTCTCTGGTGGTTTAAAATTCAGTGTTGAAACACTTTTTAATCTATACATTAAACTTAATAAAAGGACCAATAAGCCACTTTATCAGTATTTTGTATATTCTCTACACATTTTTCTTCCCCAGACATTTAACCACTACTTATTCAGCCCTATATAACTTTTATTAAGCCTCTGTGTTTTCAGCATTATTTCAAAAATGCAACATAATTACATGGCATATGTAGCCTTTCCCTATAGTACTTTAATGAAGTGCAGTAAATGGACGTTTTTCCGTCCATTGGAAATTCCACTTACGGTACTGTAGAGCTCTTGTTGGTTACGTACGACTAACAGGAAACTTCTTCCAGACTTAGATTTCTGTTGCTGTTATGTTTAGCTCATTGATGTCGTATTGTGCTGTACCATGTTTATTATTTCAATACTCATTTTTGTAAAAAAAAATATATATAATATGTGCTATTTTATGTTTGTATTTGAAAAATCTCTGTAAATAAATTTTTCCTTGATCAATATTTGCAATGCCTGGTCATGTCACTAGATGAAAAAGTTCCTTTCCCAGATCCCCACTGGAAAAATCCTCAGAAATAATCATGACTTTTGTCACCACGCTGTATCCTTTTTCCCCATAGAGCACATGCATTTAGGGTTCAGTTATGTTGCCTGAGGACAGACAGCTGTTGCCACTGGAGGCATTCTAGCACATCCCGCGTTTTTGCCGGATGCTGTCAGGTGTCCTGCAGGACTTCAGGGAGACCTTCCCCATTCTGGCCTGGCTGCTGCAGACTCCACATTTTACACAGCACCGCATATCCCTGTTTTGACAGCTGAAACAAGCCCTTGCTTTCGTAATAGTATTGACACTGATCAAATGCCAACCAGGAGGTATTCCCTGCACAAGACACTGGCACTGTACGTGTAAAACTCAAAACCAATCTTTTGTTTTCTTTAAGAAAAACAATGTGAACTTAGAGCGTGGGAACTTGTAAGGGATTTTCAATCATGACATTAACTGGTGTTATTCCCTTTTAAATTTGTTTTTCTGCTCTTGTTTTCCCAATATGACTTTTCTGTCGTGTGTTTCTAAGTTACTGTCTATGTTCTAGTTGCAGTTCTGCTGGTTAATAGCACTTGTAGCTGTTGCAGCTCTGAAATCGTGCAGTTGCTTTGTACATTACACTGGGCAGATTTTCGGGTGCATGTGGAAATAGCAATGTCAGTTTACAGTGATCAGTCCTGATATTCCAGAACTGACCTTTATCGGGTTTCCTTAGGGGCGAAGCACTATCCACTTTAAAGTGCTGTACAGTGAAAACAAAGCTGTACCTTACCCCTCCCAGATTAGCCCATAATAGCCCTATGGCGTCCAACCGCACTTGTGCGGAGCAGCACACCAGCCATGCCGTGGGGGCCTGCCTCCCTGCAAGCTCTTTCAGTGGCACCAGCAGCAGCGGGACGTGGAGCTCCTGCTTCCCAGTTTCAGGGCTTGTCCCTTCTTGTGAGTGCTCCGGACCAAACCCAAACCGGCTGCGGGAGGTCAGTGGCATTCCGTCTACCCTCACAGTAAGTATGAATATGCCTGTTAGGGTTGTGGATTGCTGCTTTTTTAAAACCAAAGGAGATATAAACACAACTTTGGCTGTGGTGCCCCTGGCTCCATTAAGATCTCTGGCAGGTATCTCACTAGAGAAATTCTGCCTTTGTACAGTATGCTACTGTGGAAACATACCTTTCATTCTACTGAAGCTGCAGTTTGCTATAAAAAGTTTCAGTGACTTGGCTATAAAAATATAAGTGTTATTATTCAAAATTTGACCTTCTCTAGATTTTATCCTGGACCATGCATCATGGAGAACATTTGGACATTTTAGATCCTCCTGTGCTTAGCTTTGGGCTTGATTTATCATGACAAACTGGAACTATGCAATTACTTTGTGAAGAAAATCAGGGTTTTGTTACGATGCAATACAATTATAGCATGACTGACGTTCTCTGAATTTGTATACAATCTCCTGTTTTTAATTTGGAATTGAATAAAATGCCGATTTTTAATAATCAAGCCAATGATATATGTTGCACCTGCTTTATAGCTGTTTATCGTATAGACTTCAGCTGCTGTGATACGAATAAACCAATCACAGCTTCATTAGGTTTGTCCATTTTTGTGCATTTTGGTTCTGATATCCATTTTGCACTAGAATATAAATACCATTTATTGTCATGGTTATCAAACCTCACAGCTACAAACTCTAATAACTTTGAACTGGGCAAAAGATTGCATTCAATTTCACAATATGAAGTATCAGTGAAATACTTACACTATTTACTACATTTAATTTTCCATTTATTTATTCTTGAAGATGAGGAGGTTGCCTTGCATTTGTCGAAACAAAAGACGTAAGCTTGCACAGGCTCCTAGGTCACTGAATTCTGCCCCTGCCATTGCCGGCAAGCATATCACATAATCCTGTTCAAAAATTTATCAACCTCTATTTTAAAGCTACTTAAGCAGTTTTCCCCCTACAACTACATTGGGAAATTTATTCCAAAACCTCACTCTTTGGTGATATGAACAAATCCTATGGTCACAGACCATTGTTCATTACCAGAAGCTACTGCAGGATCACAGGATAATTCAGGTGGGAAGCGACCTCAGGAAGTCTGTAGTCCAACCTCCTGCCCAAGGCAGGGTCAGTCATGAGGCCACAACAGGTTGCTCAGGTTTTGATCTCATCTGGCCTTGAAAACCCTCAAAGATGGAGATGCACAACGTCTCTGGGCAACCTGTGCCACTGCCTGACTGTCCTCATGGCGAAACAGCTTTCCTTATAACCGATCTTTTGTTTCAACTAACGACCACTGTCTCCCATCCTCCCACTAAGAATCACTAAGAAGAGCTCATCTCTGTCTTCTGTCACCTCCCTATAGGTACTGGATGGCTGCTATTGGGTTATTGTCCCCTGTCGCCCATCTTCCCATGTGGCCTAACAAGTGCTGATTAGAGGAGGACAATCACTTGCTTCCACATACTAGCTCTGCTCCTGTCAGTGCAGCCCAGGAGGCTGCTGTCCATCATTGCTGCCAGGTCATTCTGCTGGCTGCTGTGCAGATCACTGTCCCCAGGTCCCAAGGTGCTTTCTGCAGAGCTGCTCTCTGGCCAGGCAGCCCCTGGTCTGTGTCACTGCAGGGGCTTCTTTCTTCACAGATGCAGGACTTGGTATTTGCCCTTGTTGAATTTCATAAGGTTCCTGTTGTCCTATTCCTCCAGCCTGTCTCAGACCCTCTGAATGGCAACCCTACCCCTGAGTATATTGACTGGTCCCCCCCAGCTTGGTGCCATCTGCAAACTTGATGAGAGCACACTCTTCCACCTCTTCCAGGTCACTGATAAAGTAATTAAACAGGACAATTCCCAGGATAGACCTGTGATAACCCATTCACTACAGGCATCCAGGGTAGGGTCCCAGCAGGAACCATGACCCTCTGAGCCTCATCATCCAACCAGGCTTGCCTACCCATCCACACCCTAATGTCCCAAAAAATCTGTGGGAGCCTGTGTCAAAAGCCTTGGTGAAATCCATGCAAACAGCAGCCGCTGCTCTTCCCTCAATCACAAATCCCGTCATTTTACTGTGGAAGGCCATCGGGTGGGGCAGAGACTGTTCTTGATAAATGCGTGCTGATGACTCCCAGTCACTGAAATGAGGCCATATGGGGCTACCACTGGACATAAGGTGTTTGGAACCTGTTGCCTTTGCGTGCCTAACTTTTGCTTTGCATGGCTAAATACAGAAAAAATGGTCATCAACAAATCTAGAAATATGAAGAGTAGTAAAAATATTGAGCTCTGGAAATGGGGAATTTACTTCATACATAAGTTTGAGTGAGACAAGTGGAGGTGGAAGAACATGGTGCAATACTTTATTTATTCAAGTTGTGTCTTTGGGAATGTCTTCAGAAGAACACATTTTGAGTAGGAAATTGTCCCACCAAGACCCAGAGATCTGGGGACTTTCTTTGCCTATGCAGCATGTTGTGCAGTGCCAAGACTCTTGTCCTGAGCACTAACACAGTATTTCCTGAGAGGGAAAATGGAAATGCTGTCATTCAAGCACGAAGTCAGGGAGAAGCTTTTCCGCGTGTGAAGGCCCTGTCTGGAGTATGAGAGAGCATTATGCTTTTTCTGTAAAAAAAAGCCGTTACTTTTCAAGATTTCAATGTTAACAAATTACTCAAATTTTCACTACGTCCTGTAGAGTTAGCTCCCTCCCCCAAATACAAATATATATATATGAAAAAGAAAAACTTTAAAAATTTTTTTAAATGAGAGTTGCATAGTTCCTGAGGTGGTTTAACCCCTCTATTTCCTTATTCCTGATACAAAATTCAGAAATCAGTTGCAACTGCAATTTATCTGTCATTCTACAGTTTGAAATAGTCTGTGAAAAACATCAAACTGAATGACAAGACAGATAATCTGTACATCAACATAAGCATTAATTCTACTCTACATACTTAACCTTTCAGAGAGACAATGGTGAAATTAGATATGTCTTTTTTTAGAAGTGACATTTTAGTGTAATCCCTTAAGCAGACAGGATTTTAAATATATGCTTTTGAGTAAGTATTAAGTGTTTTTATTATTATTATTATTTAAATACTCATGGATCAGAGAAAATGAGGAAAATTTTGAAACAGTTTTAAGTTCAGTTCTCTTGGTGGCAGGAAGGATGGTTATTAGCTTAAATATAAATAGGTGGCCGCTTTTCATGTTCTTCACCAAGAAACACAATGTTCATTGAAATTTATATGGATATTTTAGCTGAGTAAAGACAGACTCTGACTCCTTTCATGGACAGTTTTACAACCTTTTAGTCTGCTAGGAGTATCTGTTAAGAATATCAGTATGTTAGGGATATTCTATGTTATGCTGAGCATATTAAATTAAGCCATCACAAGGAAAATGATAATTTGAAAGGAACATATGGTGCAACTTCATTATACCTGTCTGCATCACCAGGGCCCACCACATTGTTGCCTCCTTGCCTGGCTGCCTAAGAGCAAATGAACTGTATGTTACTCTGCTTTCAGCATCCTCCATCACCCAGGGATATCTTGTGGCCCTCAAATATTTCCTCAACAGGCACTGTGGACCATACTGAGCATCACTAGAAGTATGCTCATCTCTAAACATGCCTCAAGCATAATTGTCATCCCAGTTGTCACAAATCAGTGTGGCTTGTCAAGAGTGGGAATGGTAAAGCAATGCTAGAGCACAGAAAAGCCGCCTCTCACCTGAAGCCTAAATGAAATGCAGGTCTACGTTAGCAGGTAGAAAGCTGCTACCTCACACTATCCATGGTGATGGGAGGAAAGTTTGCTGTCACCACGGAAAGCAGCTGGTAGCTCCTTTCTGCAGCAAGACTTAGCAGCCTGAGGAGTGAGTCTGTGAGTCTGTAACCACTCAGGCAACTTTCCAGACATTTTTCTTACAGGACACGCATGGAGGCCACTGCCTGAGTTCCCAACAGAACACATTAAAGACAAAGAGGGCTCCCATCTTGCTTGTCCCTCTCAGAGGTAGTCCCACCTGGGACAGAGGGAAATGCTCGTGTACAGGTCCTGCAGCAGCCCTGCTGGGGGGGCCCCTGCACCAAGCCTCAGCTCCAGGACCAGAGGGTAAAGACAACGGCAGTGGCCAAGGTGCTCCATGTGCTGTTGAAAACTGCATGCAGCCCTGCTCTACATACATGAATGTCTTTATCCTTTTTTCATTTTCCAGGAGCTATAGAAAACTTTGACTCTCATTACACTGCCCAGTAAAATCAATATTTAAGTACACTTAATAAATAAAGGCTGTTGGGCTCTGTAGACAGAGTCATGCTGCAAAACACTTTTGCTCTGTCTTGTCACCAAAGCCGAGTGTTTCATCAAGTAATGGATGGCATCTTCCTACACAGGACTCCTGAGTGGGTGGTTTTCTAAAAAT